CAAATCTTCAAACGCGAATTGCGGGTGAACGGGACGTCGGAAGTGGGTACCGTAAAGGGAATGTGGTAGCCCGCGACACGATCTCACTGATGGTGGAGTCAAATCTTCAATCGCGAATTGCGGGTGAACGGGACGTCGGAAGGGGGTACCGTAAAAGGAAATGTGGTAGCCCCCGACACGATCTTCCTGATGGTGGAGTCAAATCTTCAAACGCGAATTGCGGGTGAACGGGACGTCGGAAGTGGGTACCGTAAAAGGAAATGTGGTAGCCCGCGACACGATCTCACTGATGGTGGAGTCAAATCTTCAATCGCGAATTGCGGGTGAACGGGACGTCGGAAGGGGGTACCGTCAAGGGGAATGTGGTAGCCCCCGACACGATCTTCCTGATGGTGGAGTCAAATCTTCAAACGCGAATTGCGGGTGAACGGGACGTCGGAAGGGGGTACCGTCAAAGGAAATGTGGTAGCCCCCGACACGATTTTCCTGATGGTGGAGTCAAATCTTCAAACGCGAATTGCTGGTGAACGGGACGTCGGAAGGAGGTACCGTCAAAGGGAATGTGGTAGCCCCCGACACGATCTTCCTGATGGTGGAGTCAAATCTTCAAACGCGAATTGCGGGTGAACGGGACGTCGGAAGTGGGTACCGTAAAAGGGAATGTGGTAGCCCGCGACACGATCTCACTGATGGTGGAGTCAAATCTTCAATCGCGAATTGCGGGTGAACGGGACGTCGGAAGGGGGTACCGTCAAAGGAAATGTGGTAGCCCCCGACACGATCTTCCTGATGGTGGAGTCAAATCTTCAAACGCGAATTGCGGGTGAACGGGACGTCGGAAGTGGGTACCGTAAAAGGGAATGTGGTAGCCCGCGACACGATCTCACTGATGGTGGAGTCAAATCTTCAATCGCGAATTGCGGGTGAACGGGACGTCGGAAGGGGGTACCGTCAAAGGAAATGTGGTAGCCCCCGACACGATCTTCCTGATGGTGGAGTCAAATCTTCAAACGCGAATTGCGGGTGAACCGAACGTCGGAAGTGGGTACCGTCAAAGGGAATGTGGTAGCCCCCGACACGATCTTCCTGATGGTGGAGTCAAATCTTTAAAAGCGAATTGCGGGTGCACGAGGAAAGTGGGAAGCGGTTAGTGAATGTAGTAGCCTTCGACAAGATCTGTTATTGATGGTTGAATCGAAAGTGGCTAATAGAATACTGATCTGCCACACAAAAATGCGCTGAAGTCCCTTCGATCTCAAACGAGGACTTTGATAATTTTTTCAATGTTAATTTCTATGTTAATTTTTTTCCGTCTGTATGTATGTACCCACGTTGTCAAATTTTGTTTTTTATGCGTTTGTTTCTCAAGTTCTGTTAAATCCAAAGCCACTGAGAACAAACAAGACATTTTCGAGATATTCACAATTAAATGTTTACGTCTAGACGATCTTTTCACCCTTTGAGAGTATCTCACATATAAATAACATTAAGCAGTCCTGAAATAAAAAAATATTAAATTACTTACAATTTTTTCTTTTTGCACACTCAAATGCGGGCAAAATCGGGCCTTTAAAATACAAGTGCTTTAAAGGTTGATAAGTAATGTTACTTCAAATATGACTTGAAACTA